TTCTTCGCTGCGTGGCCGCCCTCGACGTCCATCCAGTCGTGGTCACCATACATCAGGACCACGGGGATACCGTTCTCCTTGCGCGGGACGGGCTGCGTACCGGGGTTAGGTGTCGAAGCAGCAGCGACCGAGGTCGTGGACGACGATGGCTGTGGGCTGGCGGAGGAATCTGCAGAGGAGGAGAGACTTGTCTGGGATGCGGACGCAGGGACGGGTTCTCTGATTAGTTGGCGGCCCACGCCGTGGATTCGATTGATGAGGGTTTGCGGGCGTATGCGCCGGGAGCGAGGATGTATGAGAGCGCATACTCGCCACTGCCACGCATTCTGAAGATGGAGTATGCATAGTCATGCAGGGCCTTTGATTCCGGCTGAGGCAGATGGGAGAAGCGCCGAGACGTCCAGCCGGATACAAGGCGAGGGCCAAGGGGGCCAGACCAGCGAACAAAGGAGAAAGGGGAGACGTTTGAGTCCCAGAGATAGGTCAGCCATTTGGGCAGGGGCCGCAGGAGAGGAGGAGTCCTGGCTGCGAGGCTATTGTTGTTGTTATTATTGTTGTTATTATTACTGGCGTTGCCGGTGGTTGCGTCCTGGCTCTCTGTGAACTCGGCGGACAGGGTCGACTCTGACGGCTCGGTAAGCTCTGCGTCGACAGCCCGGGGATCCTTTGGTATTCCCACGGGGGAGGCGAGGATGAGCTTGTTGAGACGGCCGGGGTACTTGAGGGCGTAGGCAACAGCCATGTATCCTCCCAGGCTGTGGCCCATCAGGGTGAAGCGTTCAATCTTCCGCTTGACACGCCATTCCTCCAGGGCGTCGATGAACCAATCCTCGGCCTCGGTGACGGCCTGGTCTCTCTCTTTGGCGTGGATCTTGAAGGGCGGGCGGGTGCTGCGTCCCATGCCGAGCAGGTCGAGGGCGTAGAGCTGCCATCCTTTGGCACGACTGAGGCTCTCGAAGTTCTTGTAGAAGAAACCGAGCCCGGCTCCGTACCCGTGCAGGACGACGAGGTTGTTCTCGACCTTCTCGCCCACACGCTCGACGGAGAACTCGTTCAGGGCTCGATTGTCGCCGCTGAGCTGCACCATGCTCGACCGCCATCTGCGGGGGCCGTAAGGGTCGTCAATCGAATTGGCCGACACCTGGGCCTCCTGGGAGGTGTCCGCAGCCGTCAGACTGTCGGCCGCCTGGCCATCGGGGACTGACGGCTCCTTGCCGGTCTGCTTGTGCGTTGGCACCTGCTGCAGGTAAGGGATGAAGGAGAGGACGCTGTGCTCCGCGGTGGCTGCGGGCATGCAAGTCCACTACGCACCCACGTTAGCAACGAGACACTATGGAGTAGACAGCGAGATCAAGAGCTGGAGACGAACCCATTGACTGAATCCTTCCTTGTAGCCTAGCGGGAAGAAGCTCGACGGCTGCTTTGCCTGCGCCGGCTGTTCTGCTGCTGGCGAGGCCGTGGATGCTGCCTGGGGAGAGGCCATGGCAGCGTCCGACCAGCCGTCCGGGCGCGACGGGGCGGCAGAGGAGTCGAAGGGCGTCTGCGAGCGAGGCGCACTCAGCGTAGAAGCCGGCAGGGACTTTACTATCGAAGCTGATGCTGATGCTGATGAAGTTGAAGCTGAAGTTGAAGCTGTTGCTGGCTGGTGGTGGTGAAGGAGCAGCGGGGGACGCGGCGAGCGGGCGGCGGCGATGAGAGGCAGCGCTGGGATTCTGCTTGAAGACAGCTTGACAGCGGACGGCCGAGCGACAGAGACGAGCCTGTCACTCTTATTCTTCTGGATCTCGACTCTGGACTGTTTCTTCTTGACTCTGGATCTATCACTGTCGATGCTTCGTCCGGGGGAGTTAAGCCGGAGTTTGGCCGTCGGACGGAGAAGTCAGGGCGTTTCGTGGCGGGCGAGGATGGACGGCGAGGAGGCAGTGCAGCGGACCGACATAGCAGTAGAAGAGTAGACGAAGCTGTAGACGAAGCTGCAGACAAGCTGTAGATGAAGCTGTAGAGTAGGTGAAGATGAAGATGAAGATGTAGAAGTAGAAGTAGAAGTAGGAGAAGTGGTGATCCATGCTAATAACACCAACTAGTTAGCAACTCAACATCGCCGGCTTTCTACAGCAAAGACAGCAAGACAGCAAAGAGAGCAAGACGGGACCTCAACGACCGCTACAACGACCAGCCAGCGCTCGCACAGCTAGAATGACCGCGGAGGAGTGCTAGAGAGACATGTCGCAGCTCGACCAGATCGTCAAAGGCGCGCCGCCGCCCGAGATCCAGGTGCACCGGCCAGACACAGGCAGCCTGCCTCCCCCATCGCCCTCGTCCTCGCCCTCGCCAGCGCCCTCGCCCTTGTCCTCGAGCTCGCAGGAGTCGAGCGAGACGGCGGCTTCGTCTGTAGCGACGGCCGCTGCGCCCGATCCGCTGTCCGCGCTGCCCTCCTCGCCGCCGCAGATATACCTGAACCTGCTCATCGTCGAGTCCGCCCTGCGCGCGCAGTACCTGGCGCTGCGGGCCCGGCGCCGCCAGAACACCTTCTTCCTGCTGCTGCTGGCCCTCTGGATCGTCTACTTCACCTATGCCCTCTTCTTTCGGCCGCGCGAGGACGGCAGAGGGCTCGGCGGCTCCGTCTACTGGGTCGTCGAGACCGGCGAGAAAGTCGCCCTCACCGGCGGCGTCGTCACGGCCATCCTCATCTGGGGCACCGGCCAGTGGGAGCGAGGCATGCGGTGGCCGCGGCGCTGGCTGGGGGTCACCAACCGGGGCATCCGGGGCATGAATGCAAAGGTCGTGGTCATCCCGGGCCCCTGGTGGAAGGAATTGCTCTCCTACATATCGTTCATCTTCCCCTACTCGGCCTTCTTCCCATCCAACACATCTTTCCACTACGTCGAGTACGAGAGGCCGGCCTCTGCCTCTGCCTCTGCTGCGGCTGCGGCTGCGGCTGCAGCAGCTGCTTCTGCTTCTTCTGGAGCCCATGGGGACAGGCCTGCCAGCCGCAGACGCCGGGGAAGCTCAGTGACCAGCCTGCGCCAGCCGCCGGACGAAGAAAACCGCATTGGGGTCGAGGAAGACCTGGCTCCCGGGGGTGACTACATACGGCTGCTCTTGCTGCCCAAATCATTCTCCCCGGCCTTCCGCAAGAACTGGGACGAGTACCGGACCGACTATTGGGAGAAAGAGAACGAACGGCGGGCTCGTCTGCGCCAGAAGATCAAGGAGTTCACCCGCCAACAGGCCAGAGCAAACGCCGGCTGGCTCTGGTGGGCGAGATGGAGATACTGGAAACAAAGCTACCCGCGTGCTATACCCGTCATCAGCAAGAGTGGCCGGGACATCGAGAGATATACCCATCACAGGGCCTCGCACTCCCGCCCCTGGAATGGCAGCGAGCGGGAGAAGCTCCGCCGGACACCCCCCTACGCTGACTCGCACTCGCACTCGCACTCGAGGACGTCTTCTCGAAGCTCAACGCCCCATGCCGTCTCTGACGTCGAGGACAAGCTGCCTCTTGACCGTGAGCGGCGGTCGTCTGTCTCCCGCCGCGGCAGTGGTGGTTCTCCCGGCACGCCCAAGAGGAACAAGTCTGTCTCTCAGACGGCTTCGGGATCAAGCAGGTTCTCTACCCCCTTGACTCCACTGTCAGCCAGCGGCAGTGATGAGGGTTCGTGATAGCAAGACACAAAAGCAAAAGGAATGCATTTTTACTTTGGTAAGCCGTCATGCATTAGAGCGTTTGGAAATATATAGCCTGTTTTATGTCTAGCATTGAATCAATTACAATTCCTTCTACATCATCCACAGCTTTGCAATTGGTATCTCAAACATCAATAATAACTGGTTGACTATCAACGTGTTGCTTCATCGTATAAGCCAGTTATTTGAGATAAAGCGGTTATTTAGGTACATACTGTAGATGGTTGTTATTTAGTGATCTCACCCTGAACTCCTTTACAATTTCTTCTAGGCCACACTACATAGAAACAACAACAACAAAATAAAAATAAATAGAATAAATAAAATAAAATAAAATCAAATAAAATAGAAATGCCTTATTAATATATATGGTATCCGTGGTGGCGTCTTTAACCGGCTAAAAGAACTAGACAACACCCATAGCCAAGTCACACATCAAGGCTACTCCTCGAGAGCTTTTTTCTACTCATCCTCCTCCTCCTCATCTTCAGCATCATCCCCCTCTTTGCTAGAAGGAGATGGTATCAACATGCTGTTTGCGAGGTTGATGGCCAAGGTGTCCTCGGTTTCGTCCACGTTAGTAGTGGAGTCGTCGCCATCGAACGTCGTGGATTTATAGAATACCTCGAGGAGGTAGTGGTCGGACACCCGGCGAGCGAGGTTTATGAGCATTGAGCGACGCAGATACTCGCCGGGTGTCGCCCACATACACTTCCCGGTCTCAACCTCCTGCACCCAGTCCAGCCTGCCCTGGTTTTTCAGCATCAGGTACGTCATGAAGTACCGGAAGTAGAGGTACCGGCTAGCAGGCCGGTGGTGGCCGAGGAATGTCAACGTCTTGCCATGTAGAAACTAATGGGTGTCAGTATATACTCTAGTGGTTGATAGATTGGTAGCTAAGGAGGAGGTCTTCTTACATTCCACTTGGCTCCACCGGTAGCGACATGCTTGAGTAAGGCTGGGTCTGTGATGACGAGTTTCCATTGGATAATTTCATCTGCGGCTGATGGTGCTTTCACTGGTACAATCACTACGTTTCCCATGCCCATTGCCATTTCGATGTTCTTTTCAAGCATGAGACCTAGCGTACGTTAACACCATGGATTGAAGATAGGGCGAAGTATAAGGGTTATGAACTCACTATTTCTAGGGTCATCTATAGTAACTTCCCCAGCCCCAAATAAGTGGGCAACTGACATTTCATCTAGGCTCTTGGGGACAAGATGGGCTGCTCGGACTTCATTCGACGGGAGCCACCCTATGACATGGCAGAATGCGAGTTTGCGTGGCATAAAGTCCGTTTCCTCTATTTTCGATGCCTCGTAAAAATCTTCAACAGCCTGGCGGAAAGAATTTGCCTTGAACTTGGTCTTTGTCTGGTTCCCGGATGCTGATGCTATCCTAGCCACCATGGCATCGACATATGCAGACTCGAGCTCTTTATAGTGGGGCATTGCAGCTTCCATGTCTTCCTGTACGAGTTTCTTCTGGCGTTTAATGACACGGATTTCTCTGTTTAGTGGCATAGATGCGAGTGCCAGATCTTTGATGGTATCTAACGCCACAAGGGGTGGCAGGCGTCCGAGACGCGAGAGATCATGGATAGCAGTTTTGCAGTCTTCAATATAGTCAACTTCTGATTCAAGGGCGTCTATCTTGGTGGCCAGAAAATTTGAAGAGGTAGAGGCACTCGACGCTGAGGAAGCCTGACGCATCCGTTTCCTTGACTCTGCCAAAGCCGTTCGCTGCTTATCAGAGAGCATGGCATGGTAGGCCTCGGGGATGTGTTCCTTTTCAGTTTGCTGGCTCGACATTATGAGAATAACGGAGGAGTGTAGTCAAAGTAAGAGTCGAGTCCGAGATCCCGTCAAAGTGAGGCAGAGGATGAGAGCCGAGAGGGTTCCAAGTAAGAGCTGACGTCGGTGTCTCGTGTGGGAACGACTGTAGACAGGGAACAACCGTGAAGTGAGGACGACCAGACCAGGAAAAGAGAAGAGGGGACTTTGGGGGGTATCGCGGATATCAGAGATATTTATACGACTGTGATGTGTTGCTCCTGCTGTCCTTCCTGTCGTCAATCTTCTGGCAGCCGCCCAAAGTGAATAGACAAGCCATCGGCTATGTCGTCATCGACCGCACTTTGGCATAAGTCGCATAACCCGGCATGCCTACCTATAGCTAGCAAAGGGTATAAAAGGGTGTCAGATAGATAGCCAGTCATCATCTCGCTTAATCCATCGACCTCTCACTACCCTCCTTATACAAAGGGAGCAGAATGTGTTTGGGTATATGTAGTTAATTAGATCACCGATAACTATTTAGCTAATTAGGTTGAAAGGGGAGGAGAGTTAAAGTTAACGCCGTCGAGTTCGTGAAAATGTGTAGGAAGGGGAGTGTTAGAGTCTCGATGGATCAGGAAGATCGCGGTATAAGTATACATTCGTAACTCGTTACCCTGATCGTTGCTAAATAGCTACAAAGGAGGGAGTGAGATAACTCGGAGTAGTTAAAGAGGCTGAAGTATCAGGATGTGTCGCACGTGACCATCGCCTGACTGTGCCTTTGTCAGCAGGAGAGCTGAAGTGGACGAGAGTTTGCGGGTCTCCCTATAAGCCCCCTATATAGATAGTGGCCACTTATATTAGCTCGTTGTATCACCACTCCTAAGCGTATTATAACTAATGTTAAAGGAGATACAAGGTCGGTGTGTAAACCAGTGAAGCTACCACGGTACTTTTGAATAGAAAAATATATCAACTCGCTGTCACTCATTACAGATCTATAGAAAGGAAACATCAGAGTACTCATAGTCGGTAAACAGTCTCGTCACCAAGATACCTAGTAGCAACTGAGTCAGCATATGTACCAGAATTGACGAGGGCATAAAAAAGAAGGGGAGAACTTACATGATTTCGTTTCGGTCATTCATTACGGCCAAAGCTTGGAGTGCCTCGGCCAATTCAAACTCACCGTCACTTCCTGCACTAGACGATCTTACGGAAGTGTTAACTGCCTCAACGACCTTCTGCACATCCGCAGAATCTCCCTGGAACAGATCAGACCTCATAAGTGGGCCGAGAGCTTGTCGGAACGTGCTCAGACGAGCCGGTGGGAGTGGAGGTAGGGATGCGGATGCTGCAACCGCATTTGCCAAGACATCCGCCTGGGATTCTGTGTTGTCTGTCTCCTGAGATTCAAGAAGCTGGGATGCCGGATGTGACGAGGCCACAGACATCTGCGATTGGGACGGTGTCTGTTGGCTTCGTGTCTGTCTAGACGAGTGTGCTGACCGGCCACTAGGAGAAGCGTTGTATGTGCCATCATCGTCGTCATCGTCATCATCATCATCAGCAATATTCGTATCATTTACGCCAGGAGTAGACGTTGCTCTGGAGCCTCTGAGGCCCGGTCGGTTGCTGGACCGAGCTCCTGAAGCTGATTGTGTCGTCCTTCTGCGTGGTGTATAGTCTCCCTCATCGTCATTGTCAGAGTCCTCTGAATCAGAGTCTGATTCTGGTATATTGGCAGTCTTGCGTCTCTTGCGTCTCTCATCTTCAACCACCTCCTTAAACAGAGCAAATCGGAGAATAGCTTCAGCAGCCTTGGCGTCCTTCTCATCTACTCTGTTGGACAGACGTGCCTTTGCATGAGCCGTGGAGAGACGGATCAAGGTCTCGAGCGTACGAGCAGTCATGGGAGATGTCTTCCTCTGGTTTCCAAGTAGCTCGTCATTTCGGAGGGCCGAGTATGTGCTCACAATATGGTCGGCGGCACCCTTGCTGAGAACTGGTTTGATTCGTGATTTCGCATATTGGATATATTTCTTGACAAAGGGAAGGCTGAGCACTTCAACCTTCTTGCCAGCCCTTCTACCACTCTGAGAGATGCCGGCATGAAGCATAACATTGAACTTCTCGTACACTTCGGTGGTTCGGTTCTTGTCCTGGCTTTCTTCCAGCCCGACCCCAAGACTGGAGCCAGCTTGCTCACGAACGGGAGCCCCTTCTTCCTGTCTTGGATCACGGTACTGGTGCATTCGTAGAACATGCTCAGAAACGAGCCTATCTCTCTTGTCATCAATATCATCAGTAACCACAAAGAGAAGATCGAAACGGGACAAAAGTGAGTCGGGTAAAGCAATGTTCTTATGCGGGTCTTTATGGGTATCATATTGCCCAAAGATTGGATTTGCAGCTGCAATGACACTGCACCGCGCATTTAAAGACGTATGAATGCCGGCCTTTGCAATCGTGACGGTCTGCTGTTCCATAACTTCGTGGATTGCAACTCGATCAACGTCGCTCATCTTGTCGAATTCGTCAATACACACTACTCCTCGATCTCCCAAAACCATAGCACCGGCTTCTAGCCTACGCTCTCCGGTTTCTTTATCGGTGGTCACGGCGGCAGTAAGACCAACACCAGACGAACCTCGGCCGGTGGTGGCAATTGCCAATGGAGCAGTGTTGAGCACAAATCGTAGAAGTTGGGATTTGGCTGTCGACGGGTCACCAACCATTAGAATATTGATGTCTCCACGAAGATGGGTTCCGTTATCAAGATTCTTTTCCATTCCACCCAACAGCATGAGCAATATAGCTCTCTTGATATAATCATGGCCATATATACTCGGTGCAAGGGACTGGGAAAGAAGATCGAATATATTCTTCTTCTTTGCCAGCTTATTAATGTTTCTAACATCAGTGTCCGTTATCGTGGGTTGGACAATTCCTCCTCCAGACTTGGAGGCAAGGTGGATAACATTGTTTGCAATAACCACGGTGCGGAAAGTTGAGCTGCTAGAGTTCGTATTTCGATTTCCAAGAGATCGGTAAACTCCTACGAGCTGTATCCTGTCTCCTGGTTTAGCCCTGTCAACAAGGTCATCATCAAGGATAACATCAACGCCACGTGGGAGCTGTCCAGCAGGTGCCCTTTCCGGCATTTCTTGTATAGAGATCATTTGGTGATCTCGGTATTTGCAGTATCCATATTCGGTTATAAGCTTTGTTCATTCGTTAGCAAACACAGACCGTCCCAAATGGCTTCTGAAGGTGGCTTCTCACTGGACTCCCATGTTCATCCTGCTGAGGGTACACATTTAAACTTGTTGATCCACTGGCTGTCATTGTTTGATCTTGGTATGTCCTTGACAAGAAGGCTTTGGCTTTGGGGTTGTAATGAACGCTTCGAATAATCTTTGGTCTGACGAGGGAGCATTTTGTTACGATGCCCTCCAGGGCGATCATTCGGTTTAAATGTGATGAGCTGAGTGTTCGAGGATTGCAAGCATATTCACCAAACGCACCAACATATGCGCAGTGATATTCCTATCCACCGATTAGATTTGAGCCTGGAGGATGTAGTGGTACTATCTTAACGCACGGTTTCATCTGCATCTTCGCTTCGTGGTTGAGTGGCTATGGTTGTGACGATTTCTCGCAACGCTTGATCAAATGCCAATGTATACTCAAAGGGTGAAGTGAGTAGTCTACTCAAGTGTGAGAATTCGTTTCGTTCAAGTTTAACGCTGACAGGGGTTATACCCTTTTGCTAGCTCTGGGCTGTGGGCTCTGATATCGTCGATACTAATCTATAAGAGACAGGACTATTAGCATGCTTATGTTTCCCTTTGTTTCTTGAATCTGAGTTATGCGAGGGCAGTTATATACCGTGAATCTGCGAAGTCCTCTATTTATCATCACAGCTATGTCTGCGCGGTAACTACAGGACGTTAGAATCGGCGATTCATTGTGATACTCGGTATAAAACTACCTTCTAGCTCGGGGGTCAACTAAAGGAGACTTGTTAGAACTTAGAACAACTATGTGAGATCAATTATATCAGAGCTAACCAGGGTCAAGGAACTCCGTTGCCGCTCGCTTATTATCGCGAGCAGCTTCATCTCGAAGCAGCGGGGGGCCATCCATATTGAGTAGGGGGAATTCTAAGATATCAGGGAGAAAGACGCTGTCGAGTCAAATTGCAAAGGAAAACTGCAGCTTTGAGATACTCTTTCAACCGGCTGAGAAGCCAGGTTAGTTATCTAGGACTGTGACGCTTGCTGGGTGTCTTTTTCCGACTTGTTGAAGTTGCGAAAGAAGAAAATCCTCATAAAACGCGAGACTTACACGCGACACGCGACTTAAAGTGGTTTTTGGAAGACGCGCGTTAACTAGACCAATGAGAAGGCAAGTTCTACTTACTACCCGACAACACTCGAAAGAAGATCCGGTTTATGCAGTTTATCTTAATTATTCATTCAAGATGGATATAACTATAATACATAGGGTTGATGTTGGTACATTAGGAAACGCTCTAGACGAAGATCATAACACTGCTTTGAGCAGGGATATGCTATATACAGATTTTGTGGATGAGCCATGACTACTTTTCAGTTTCTTCAAACGTAGAGCGGCGTATGTAGTTATCCAAATCCCACTGATCCTCAGGGCTTAATACTCGCTCGGCAAAAGGAACAGCGGTTGATTTCTCTGATACACCCATCCTCTGCCGGCGGGACATGTCTTCGGCCAACAAAGACTCCAACAACGGGGGCGCTGGCTCAGTAGATTCAAAAACATTGGGCTGCTCATGAATCTCAGGTGTCCATTCGGAATCGGATTTGTCTTCATCCTCTCGAACATCATTATCCTCTTCAAAAGAAGATTCCACTTCGCCAGTATTGATTCGTTCGCTTCCCTCTCCTAAAACACCCCCGGTCCGTACGTCGTCGTTGGAAATTTCAACTCTTGGAAGCCGCTCTATATCCGCCTGATCGGCCTTGTAGCGGCGAAGGATATTTTGGAATTTTTCCTCCAAGTATGGGATCGTAGCAACGGCAGTGTATGTTTTAGGTGCCTTAGAAAACAACTCATTCATCTCTTTTCCTCCGTCAACGATTGATCGGGATCGGAAATCAATAAGGGCGGAAGCAAGGTGAAGGATATTGAGATGAGTAGGCTGCATGTAATCCGGCTGAACCTTTGCCCACAGAGCACGGACCTTACGCCCAATCATACGACCAGGCTTTCCTCGGCGGAAAGGCCCTTCCATGAGATCCATTTCCATATGTGCACCCTCCGGCCTAAGGGTATATCCACGTTTTATATACCTCCAACCTGGGTAGTTGGGCATGAACTTCTCCTCGAAAATAGTAAATGCCCGCATTTGGGAAGCAGGGTCACGGGAAAGACAGAGAATATTAACATATAGCGACCAATTATGTGTGCTGAATGCAAACCCAAGCTTTTCAATCTGTGTCACAAGATCCGCGATTTTTAAGTGGAGATTCTGTGATGATAGAGATCGCATATAAGTCGAAATGCAGTGTGAAAGATCAAAGCGGTGAGATGGAAGGACTGTTGGTGTCTTGGTGCAAAAAGTGACTTCAGCTGGGCCCTTCTTGCTAACCCTGGGTGCCGCAAGAAACCCAGTTGGACGTGATAAGGCTGCTTGGACATTGATTCCGCGCGAGCGCTGGAGGGTATGGGTAAGAGCAGCCTCGAAACATTTCTTGACTTCATAATGCTGATTCTTTGCTAGAAAGTTTACCATCAGAGCATGAAGTATCATAGGGGAATGTGGTAAGCGATCTGGGAGCGTGGATCTCGATTTCTGTGAAAATTCCAAGAATAGCTCTCCGACCTTTTCATCCCTGTTATTCCGCCCATACGCCCTGATAAGCTGTTCGTAAAATGCAGCAGGGAATGCCTCGCGCAATGATCGACCCCGGGCTCCAGGCTGCGGTTGTCTGGTACTGAAATCTTGGGTATCGAGCTGAGCCATGGCGGTTTTGAGAAGTTTTTCTGCATGTGGAAGGGCGAATTTTGCGCTGGATGCGCTTCCCATCGTTTCCCTAGCTCGTCGGATATCACGATCAATTTGAGATTGAAGCATAGCCAAAGTTCCACTCAAGCCAGTTTTATTAAAACGTTCCATCATCTCAGTGTACAGTACTTGGACCATATCACGGTTTGTTTCCTGTACGTAGCCGTGGAGAAGAATGGCGTAATGAAATAGTGTTAAATGAATCTCGTGGTTTCTGTGCAAGACTCCCAAGATTTTGCGTGCAGAGTTCGTTTTGCCAACGCGAACAAGACTGGACATCATTGCGGCATATGTCATGCCATCAAATTGGATTCCTGCATCCTGCATGCGATTCTGTATTCTTAAAACGGCCGTGATATCAATGGTGTATGCGTAATTCCATAAGAGAATATTCCAAGTTCTGGTCATAGTACTGGCGGGAAATTTTGACGTAGCCTCTTCTGCCACCTTCTCAGCGTCTAGGTATCTTCGATGTTTGCATAATACTTCAACCATGGTGTCGAACATAGAACGCTGTAGTCGGACTCCGTTTCGTTTAGCCATGTCAAATAAATCCAAAACGGCCCTGATATCACCGCGCCCAGCAGACAAACCCATCAAAATGGTGAAGCTAACGGCATCGGGGGCCATGCCGCTCTGAAGCATTTGTTGGAATGTACGAAGCGCCCCTTCTAGATTTTTATTTTTCGAATAGGCAGTAAGCAAAATGTTCCAGTACTGAACCCGTGGTTCAACCCCAAGTTCGGAAACATGGTTGAACCATTTTTGAGTTTCCTTCACGTCACCAGTTCTGGCATGGACATAGAGTAGAGGAGTTAAAATTTCTGTTGAATCTGCACGCCCATGGTCTGCTGTGTAGTCATTGTAAAACCGGAGTGTCGACGAAGTGTCACCAAGTCTCGCTGAGACCGTTAGGGCATCATGGTAAGCCAGTAGCGGTGGCTTGCCATAATGTAAGCGGTATTCATCTAGGAGGTAATCGACACCTTCCAAGACCTCTATATTACACAACATGTGCAGCAGCCCCATAATCAATGCTTTTGGTGGAGTGATTTGAGGAATACGCCAACGGAAGTTGCGATATAACATGATTGAGCGACCATTTGCTGACCTGATCTTGGAGGATAGTAGAGATCTGATAGCCAGAATATAATCGTCATGGTTGAAGAGTTCAAGTTTGATGGAGTTTTCGAAAATCTTCAGTAGCTCGTTCATTGACACCGACATCATAGCTCTATCATGAGAGATAACAAGCTGAACAATGTAGCGGGCCATCTCCGTTGTATCATTTGTATTGCGCTGCTGAACAACTTCGAGGAGAGCAAGCAACCGATTTGCTAACGGTTTCGACTGGCGGTCCACAGCTGGCAGCTTATTAGGTAGCGGATGAGGCTGAAGATTCCAAACGCTAAGAGCATTCTCCCAGTCCATGCGATTCACAAACTCCATAAATGCATATTGCCAACATTGCGTCTGGCCCCGCGCAGATGCTTCCCCACACAATTCCAAGGCAAAATTGGTATATGCTCTGCTTTTAGCATTCAAAGCAATCTTGACTGTACTCAAATAATCACGCTCGCTGCGATTTGTTGGATTTATTCTTTCAAAAAGTAGTTGACAACGCTGAAAATCTCGAGGGTCCTGAGATGTCGAAAGGTATGATAAAAGATCTGATTCAAATCCTCTAGGAGAACCACTCGACCTATAGAGCCACCACGCAGCACCGTAATCTCGGGGCCCCTTATCTGTAAGGAATTTTCGGAGAACATCTGGACTCTCATTGGATCTAACATCGTTTGTAAAGGAATTTCCTGTGTCTAATGATTCCTCAGTAAGGCAGTTGCTGGCCGAAGAAGAGTATGTTCTGTATATATTTCTTTTTCTCTTGTTGAGATTTCTTTTGGGTTCGGATTTATAGGTGCGGGCGAACAGCCGGGTTTTTGGAGGGTAGAGGAACTCGAGTGGTGTGGGTGGGAGAATCGAGTCCAAGGGGGCATCATCGTTATTATGCTGCGCGGGCGGCCTCTTCCCTAACCTTGACTGGACGGCGTAGTAATATAGAAGGGACAGAGCGGAGGAGTCGTCGGTATTGCAGTGCCAGAATTTGGGGTGCAA